CACATCAACCTCAGGTCAGTAAACGTTTAAAACAAAGTATTATTTGTTCAGCAAAGGTGTTATATTGTACCGTCTTGTTAGTTTGCCACCGTTCCGCCCTGGTTCAAATGACGCGTCTGTTCTCTTCCGTGTATACTTAACGGCGAGCAATTGTCGGCGGCGGCAATAGCTGCAAACGGTCACCTCACTGGAAACGGGATCGCAGGTTTCAGGAAGTATAATATTAATATGTGTCGGGGAAAACATTAACCTACATTTATAGCAAGAACACCTGGAGACTTGCTCGCCATGACACTGTAGTTTGTGGCTCCGCACCGGTTTTTTCTAGGTCTCCTATTGATACTAAGAGTACCCAGTTGCTGGCAATTCACAAAGAATTTTTACCGTATTCACACTTTTCTCGCGCGAGAGTCGCTCTCCAACCATGAGCCAAACTATACGTTTGCAGGACTTTGTGCCTTCTTTTGATTACTTAACGCCAGCAGCAGGAGGTAAGTAGGTGGTGACAGCTGGGCCTCTCTTCCTCGTACTCACTGTTGGGTAAACACCCCCACCGGACACCCGCACATAACTGTTCTGATATAGCTCGCTATTCAGATACCCAGGAGGCGAGGGCCAAGAGCTAGATTATGAGTAGCTTAGGTAAGCACAGAGGCGCGAGCGGACATAAACAAAATCGGATATACTGTAATATATTATCTTTTGCCAAATTTTCACCTCCGCCATTTAACAATTATATTGTATTTGTTGACTTTTTCTGCTAAAACACACTTAAGTACACACAGCAATGTGCTTAGAATATTCTATATGAAGGTTATATGGAGGAATCAAGAGCTAATTATCAGTTCTAGTATTCCATATAACAGCATGGTTAGTCATATATGGAATAGGGAGAAAACATGAAATGCGAATCTAGTTTACTAGCCTGCACTAGCAAGCTCTGGGTAGAGCACGAGGTAATAAGATGAGGTAATTATGAGAAGAAAGCACCAAGCCAATATCTATATAGCAAGAATATCTTATAAAATTGGGTGTAGGAGCGTGGGAGTGAAATTGGTTCTCATTTGGTGTAATAGACACGTTCAGCGACCGTAACCAGGTGTAAATAGTGATGGGGCTGAGGTAAAAAAGAAATTGGACTAGTTTAACATGGTGCGGGGGGTTTAAGGTGGTTTAATCTGTAAATTAGACAAGTGGAAGAGAGAGGGCGATGGTGAGGTCAGTGCCCGGCAGTGGCGAGTCACTCCTCGGGTAATGTGTTGTAAATAGCACGTGAATTTAATTCTTGGCAATTATCTTTTACCGAGGGGACCGTCCTTACGCAGATGGTAACAAGCCAGCCCATCCTCCTAAGGTTTCCCAACGTAAAGAAACGTCGTACTAAAGCGCCCTTTTTTAATCTACAGGAGGATTTAAAACACAAAACTGAACAGTATGTCAATTTCGCGAACCGCTACCATTTTCTAGTTCAATTTTTGGCCTTAGAGTATACGTCCAAATGCGACGTTCTATTGGGAGGATGGTTTAGCTACCGGTCCTGAGAGCTTAGCATGTTTTGGCTTAGTATGAAAGATCTGACCTGGTTTTGGCCAGGTCAGTGCTTTCATCTGATCTGGCCACAATTTATTCATACATGGGCGAGTATAAATTATACTCGTTTAAAAGTTTAATTAAAAAAGTGATAGTGATATAAAATTAAGTGATAATATTTGACTTAAAAGTAGTGATCATATTAATGTTTTATTTATAATAAAAACAATTGATGCCTAATATGTTTAGATTCCAATCCACAACAGCCAACTTAACAAAGAGAGTTAATTTAAACTTTGATATAAACACTAGACTAAATGAAGAGGAGAATAAAGATTTGTGCACTATGACCTTACAGGAGGATGCTGCTGGTAACAAGGAGCACAAATGAGAAATCTTAAGAGAAAATAGTGATGACGAAGCAGACTGTACAAGAAAAGAGAATGCAAGAGAAACACTAATGACAGTAAATACGCGCACACATTCACACTTACCCTAAAAATAAAGCTCAACCTCAATTTTTTTTTCTAAATACGTAAGGAAAAAAATCCTTAAGGTATTATGGAACATTATAGTGATGTGGGCTACTATGTGCGTCTCTGTCGAACAACAATAGTTTATCATGTATATATATATATCGGTCGTCTTTTCAATTTTGATATGATAGTATTAAAAATTATGCAGTCATTTATTTTAACTTGTTTTTCTGATGTCTAATCAGATGGCGCTTCATTAGCCATTCTGGAATTTTATTCAACATGTGATTTGTACAGCCAATAAGAGGGCACGGATTTGTTGCACTGCTTTTCATCCCAGCAGAGCAAGAGTAAACTTGCTCATTGCAGGAATGAGTATGGTAACTCGCTCAGTGATCGTAAACGGTAGCGAATCACGACGGTACTCCGTTATGCATCTTGTATAGTCACTGGACAACACCGGTCTACAACCAAAATACTTCAGAAACAAATGAAGTCAATCTTGACTTGGTCAAGTCTGAAAGAGGTTGGGTTTACCCTAGTTATTTAGCAGTTTCAGTGCTTCTCATTATTAAACTTTTTGAGAGGGAAGATAAAAGGGGAGGAGAGGCATGGGGAGGGGGAAGGGAAATTGAATAGGGGGATGTGGGGGGAGAAGAGGGAGGAGATTGGGAACAGTGTTTTTGAGATTTGACAGTATAAACTATCTTCATGTGTTACCAACGTATGTAATACATTCACTACACCCTCAGTAACAGCTCCAGAAAAAACAATGTGAACACAAAGGGCAAATTGTGGTTCTTGGTACATATCAAGACAGATTTATCCAAGGCGATGTAGTAGTGGCCAAGGTTTGAACAGTCACTCTTTCAATTGTATCGGATGAAAGGTGAAAAAGAATATATATTGTCTTATCCTTGACAAATTCTAACCATTCATGATCCAATAGATATTGTTTGACATGCTAGAGCTAGGAAGCTTATTCAGACTACTAGGTTTCCCTAGACTGACCCCCCCCCCCTCAGGATGAAACCAATTTACTCCTAGGTGAACACAAGAAAATGTACCCAAACACCTCGTCCTGAACGGGAAAGCGGGAGTTACAGCTGTTGGTTGAATCATGGGGGACTGGTTAGTCGTTGGCTAGACCCTTGATAAGCTTAGCAGACTTCCTGTCATAGACAACTGGAAAGCAACACGCACGAACACGCGCGTGTTCGTGCGTGTTCGTACAAGCCAAAGAATATCTCACCTTGGTTGCTGAACTTGGAAGCAGAGACCCTGAGCACGCAGTTTTGAGCAAATCATCCCAGCTTCCGTGAGGTCGTCAGCTTTAGGCAAAATTAAATCTGTGTACACTGTGTACAAAATTAAATCTGTGTACAAAATTAAATCTGTGTTCCCTCTATCGGCATCGTTACGTTAGTTGGGTTTGTGAGGCAACGCTGGTGTAATGTCCCTCAGACATGTCCCAAATTTGTCTGAGGGACAAAAGTGGTCCCTCGTTTTTTATATTTTTATTGTTCATATCAAAGTACTAATCTTGTCAAGCCGAATTTTTGCCGAATACAATCTTCGTTCTTATTGAACGAAGGTTGTATTCCGTAAAAATCGGAGTTGTGGTGTGGACATGCTGGACTACACACAAACAGGAAATAGAAATCCGAGGGTTATTAGACAATAAGGCAACCCACATTGCACTAAGGCTCTAAACTGAAGGCCGTTATATTTTAACATATCGAGTAAGATGTTACGAACTTATAGTTACCACTCAAATTGTAATAGTCATGGAGAAAATAAGACTAGTGTTACATTTAAGAAGGAACTGCTTCAGAAAACTATTTTTTTTTCTTTTTGAGGGGATAAATGTCTAGTTTAAAAATGTAAGTCTTACATATGTAAGTACGTTTCGCTTTCCCTGGCCAGCCAGTATAATAGAGGTGGACAAACTGCACATTCCTTTATTGTCAGCGTCGGTAAGCGTTTTGAGCCCGCGCAGGAGCAGCAGCGCTGAAGATGAGTACATGTACCTAAGTAGCAGATGGCATGAACAGTCAAGATGGCGAAATTTGACAGTCGCCTCTGAGGCTCTTGCCTCACAACTGTCGTGCTCCTAGACAGAGTTGGGACAAGGGACACCTGCGTTTTCGCCACACTGATTCGTCAGAGGCATGCCCTCTCTCTGAAACTGTTACAGGGGACTAAAACCCCTTTTAGATATTACCGAATTTAGGGAATCGGAGCGCATCTGATCCAAGAGACGTTGTCGCCCTTAAATCAATATAATCACCACTGTCACTGTTAAAAGGCGCTCTGTGGCAATTGTGTGTAAAGTACAGTAACAAGCAAACTGTAAGGAATAATATAACATTTATAGTATTACAGCGAGTGTTCCTAGTTTATGGTCTTTTCTAGGCCAAAGTGGTCTAGAAAACTCGGAACTGTCATTTTGTATTCATAACAATAATAATATTATTGAAGGTGAAGGAAGGACCCAATATAAACAATGTTCTCTACACTGTAGAGAACATTGTATACCTTGAGAAAGGATGTAGATTACATCCGAATTTTTTTTGTTAATACAATTACACATGCTGAGTTTTTCCTTTACCTTCATTCAAGCAGTAAGGCATTGTACCAAGTTTCTAAATAGTATTATTATTATGACGTCAGAAGTGTAATTCTTGTGTAAAGCTTAAGTTCCATTAATCAACACAAATGACTTTCTCCTTCCCACAGTTGCCAGTGTTACGAACCGTACTCTTTGACCCGAAACTTGTTTTGGGTCTTATGACCTAATATTAACAAGCAGGTAAAACGAGGGTTTCAGGGCTGTTACTTTCGACTCCAAATTATAGTAAACATTTTAAGTAAACATGGAAGGCGAACGTGTTAACAGGCTCAAGAATTGAACCCCCGAATTTGGTTAGCTATGAAACTAGCATGTTTTTAAGTATTGTTATTTTAAGTACAGCAGATTTCTTATGTATTTACCTTGCAAGGGAAGAAAAGTGGTGCTAAATCCCATTTGTGTTGCAGATATGGCGGGTGTTGTTGGTGTTGGCGCTGACCACGACGGCGGCGGTGATGGCGGAGTGGGCGGACGTGGATGACTCTGACGTGGGCGGCAAGAGGGTGTTGATCCTGCACCCCATGTACGCGGCCTCGCATGTCCTCACACTGCGTGCCATGGCCCGGGCCCTGGTCGACAGGGGTCACCAGGTCAGTGAGCCAGCTCTCTGGGCAGGGTGGAGCGCCTCGACCCGTGATGGCAACAGCGCGCACGTGGGTGGCGACACTGGCCCACAGCGCCCGCCACCTGTTGGCAGGAATTGAAATCTTGACATTCTCATTTCTTTGATATATATATTATTGCAGGTTGTACTAGATCCAATAAATTTTCGTATCAGGGAGGGACGTTACTGGTTACTCCCACCCTCTGATGCTACTCTCCCATTTACCCAACAAAACATAGTCTCAGATTTGGTAGCATTTTGCCACATGAAATATAAACTTTTAGGGTTTTATAATGTTTAGTTTATATATTTTACTCTTGGTTATATGTTCTACTCATGGATGTGAATGCAATACCCTAAGGGGTTCAAACCTGACTACTTGATCTCACCACCTCGTAGTCACTGGTAAGCACTTGCTACTGATATATAGGCTTGACCGACAAATGGAGACCATTGTCTCTGGTAATGAATATTGCCTTCATTATTAGGTATTTAAATAATCACTAAACTGTTTTCAAATGTCAACCTTTGGGGTAGTTTACATGTACTGATTTTAACTATTTAAGATAAGTAGTTCAAATCGGTACCTTATGATTATTACACCCTGCTAATAGTCAATATAACCTTAATTATGTGGTAATATTTTATTTCAAATACAGATTTTATATAGGGTAGTGCTAGGCTATTTAAATATTTTTTTGTATTTAATTAGGCTATCTTGTATTTATTAGGCTAGGCATAGATTAGACTACAGTATTTGCTCTAGATTAATTTAGGCATGTATTTAAGTACTGTCTGTGGGTGAATCCTGTTTCGACTCCTAGTCATAGATTAGAACATAAATCAGATTGAGTAAATGCAAAAATATAATATTTACTCTGCTAATATGACTATTCGACTTTGCCTGAAAACATTTGTTTAATGCTCGTTAGTTCAGCCCCCTCTTCTCTATGAATTAATAATACTTTATATATGACTTGAAACTGATAATGTTCGTATTAATCTTGAATTCTACTTCAATTAATTCCAGTGTTTGAAGCACATTTCTAAATACTTCACGGACGTAATTTAAACCATTAAAGAATTCTAACAAGGAAAATATCAAACCTACTTTGTCTAATTCTACACGAATCTAGTTTATTTGTTGAGAAATTGCCTTTTGATTTCACACTATGGATAAATTTATATATAAATAAATTTTTTGGGACCGTGCCTAGCTTGAGAATGGGCTCTTAAACGTTGGAAACATGTACCCCAAATAAAAATAATTATCATAACGAAAATGCCTGACAACCTAGGCCGAACTAGGCACAAAACCATGTATGAATATTTGTATTTTTAAATATGTCGTTTTTTATTACACCGAACTTAAAATTTACCATCTGTTGCATCTTGGGGGACGGCCGAAGTTTGGACAAGCATGGTTTGAAGATGGGATGCTTATGGTGAAATTATGCATCGTCTTGCTTAGTGGTTACTATGGGGGACACGACACTTGCCGCATGACGTGAGCCACGTAAATATGAGGTGCTCACATATGTTAGTGGTTGGGAGGTGTTGCCAAGTTAATGATATTGGCCACTTTTGGAGAAGTATAAACTCACCCTTATGATACTTTCATTCGTTCCCCTTTCGTTTAAAAATTGCGGACATTTAGTGTCCTACAATTTATATTTTGTATTTATGTATACATTATAAAATACCATAGCAGAAAACGGGATTGACTGACTTAACACAAATGATTTTTCCTTTCGTGATGGCGGCGGTGCAGGTGACGGTGGTGAGGTGGCAGGACACCCACCAGTACCCTTCTGCCGACTATCCTGGCATCGTAGAGTTCGTGCTGGCCATCAACAACTCTGACGGCACCGTACCCCACATGACTCATGAGGAGAGAGCCAGGTAGGTTGGTGGGTTTTCTGCTAGAGCCTGTCGACCCCCCCGAGCGTTATGTGAGAGCGCTAGGCTGGTGTATGCTCCCTCCCCCCCCCAAATTCTTTGACAATATTTGTGCAAATCACAAATGCTATTTATTGCGTCTCGCCGCACATAATGAGTATTCTCTAGATAGCTACAATATGTCCTTACCTCTGTGTAGGTCTGGTTGGCACGATGCCGGGCTTGACTAAACCGGTTTTATTGTCTTCTTGCACGGTGTTGTTTGTTCTCTCTGAACCTGTGTAATATTGACAATATTTACTTTTCCACACTACATTTCTCCCTCCCATTGCTCCATCCTCACAAAACTCTCTCTATTTTACTTCTCATGGTGCTTCTTTTTATCTTACTCGCACACACTGCCCCTCTCTTACTCCCACGCGCGCGCACACTGCTCTCTCCCTCTCTATTACCTGCTATTGTCTCATCTTACGCAGCTTCGTGATGCCCCAGGAGCTGATGTGGGGCCACGGGACGTCATGGACGGCGCTGCCTGTGGACGCCTTCATGACGGTGGCAGCCTTCTGCAGGACGCTGCTCGGGGACCTGCCTCTCCGGCATCACCTCAGACATCAGCGCTTCCACGTCGCCGTCGTAGACCTCATCTATAATGAGTGTAGTCTGGCGCTGGCGCATGATTTGGGTACGTGTGTGCATGTGTACTTGCCTGAACGTGTATGCAGGGTAGTGCTAGCTTCTGAGCCCCGCCTTACCAGCTGTTGGTTGTTTAATACAGTGACTGCCGATACGTCATATTTTCTTTTAAAAGTACAGTACTTATATTATTCATTCCTATATCCCATTCTGTTTGGTTATTGCTACACAAAAATGTGTGTGTTGGGTGTAGTATAATTTGTAAGAAAGTGTCTCCTCTCAATGACGGCTGAAATATTAAAATAAATGTAAGAAATTGCTCAGTGGATGTCTTAACTGGTTATTTTAATCAATCGTTTCCAGGTAATTTCCAGAATCATGGAAGGTTGCTAACGTTCATCATGTTAAAAGCATGAAAGGGCTATTATAACCTGCCAGTACTGTCAATATTTTTTTTAACCTACATACTACTTGAAACAGTAATAGAGTAGACTGGCAGTTACCTTTAAAATGCTAATTATGATATAATACATATATTTATTGGAAGTTTACGTTTTAGGGATTTCCTAAAGTTATAAAATTAATAATATATTATTTTAGTTATAAAATACATAAACACGTTGGTGGATAATCTGTTCAGCCTTCTGTATCACTGTTCAGCCCTCTGGGACAGCTTTAAGTCCCATTATACATTTAGGAACTAGGGCGTTACTAAATGCAGTCCATGTTAGACAAATGTGAATGTTTAAGTTTGGTAAAAGAAAGTGACGTTAGCACTCAAGTCAGTACATGATATACTGAGAAATGTGATTGTGAAAGGCGTCTGAGAGGCGAGTTGGGACCGTAGTCCAAGACTTTAATATTAATGATTCGCAGCGAGCTTTCTGAATAGTTGAATCCTATCCAGTTGGATGCCTGACTTTGGACACAGAATCGGTGTTAAGATGAATACCAATGTTCTCCTTCTGTCACTGTGGCGTCGTTGGCGCACAACTTCATTGGTCTAGGGTTATATTCCCAGGCAGACCGAAACGGTTGGGCACGTTTCTTTACACTTGATGCCTCTGTTCGCCTATTAGTGAATATATACCCGGAAGTTAGTTACCTGTTGTAACCTGGGAAATTCCAGTCTTTGGTTTGGGGTAGATAAACCTAACAGGCTTTCTGTATCAGAGGGAAAACCAAAACTTTAACTGCGCAAGTGAGACCTAGCTTGGGTTGTCTGAGCAGTTTTGGTCACCATACTACTGTATAAAATGAAATGTTCATTAAGGATAAGAGGTTAATTTATTATTTATTATTATTATTTATTTATATACAAGAAGTTACATTGGAGGTTAACAGAAAATATAGAAAATAAGTTAATTAACATTCTTGTAAAGCCAGTAGCCACGCATAGCGGGCAAACAGGCATTTCTGTAACATCAGGAGTCTTCTTTATTACGATTAAGAGCACTGAAATCACATCCTCGTAAATGGAACAAAACAAAGGAAAACTGACGATAGTAAACTAGACAATATAAGCGAGGACTCTTACGTTGTTGTATGGATGGGAGTTTGCTCTTATCAAGATGTTTGTTGCTTTAAATTGTATCAGTGTGCACTGTGTGTATTGTACGTGGTGCACTGTATGCATTGTATGTGATTCGCTTACCAATAGATGCTCCATGCTGTACACGTTTGACTTGGTGCAGCTACGCATTATGATATGGTTTCTTAAAATTGTATCCCCCCATCCCTAAACTATATAGATCCTCTGCAAATATATTCCATCGTTTGGGCCCCTAAACTGATTTTTTGAATTATTGTCGTCTTATCGTTACTTCTGTCTTCTTGTTTCAATGGGTGATGTTCATCTCTCCTGTTTCCCACATTTATTGGTGTCCTCTCTCTCGCTTTCTCTCCTTTCCACTTCACCCTTCCCTTATTTATTTGCTTATTTATTTGCCCCTTATTTGTTCGCTTATCCCCTCGCTTGCAGGTATTCCTTCGGTGGGGTACTGGGCGTTCACATTCGCTGGAGGAGAACCTCAATACACGACAGCCTTCAGCCCGCCGTCATCAGTGCCATTCATACTATCACACTACCGGGACGTGATGACCTTCAAGCAGCGTCTCGTAAACCACATCCACGCCCTCGGCAGTCACGTCGTTATGCAGGTCAGTGTTTTATCGCGGAGAAAGGATAATTGAGAGCCATCTAAGGATAATAAAGGGCTATTAAAGCGTAATTGAGATATGGGGGCAGCCTTGGGGTCCAAATGCGGACATGTCATTCGGATCATGGATGCTAATCTGTGGCTCCAGTCAGTCTTTTTGCTTTTGAGGTTCCTTCATTGTTGCCACAAATGAGTTGACAGTAATGCTATCTGGGAGAGTCATACATAAGTGTCATCCTTCTCCGTGTCTCCTCAGGTTCAGCTGGCAGTGACGGGATGGCAGATCAAGCGGTACCTGCCGTCCTGCCCTCCACCCGGGACGCTGCTGGCGGAGATGTCCGGCATGCTCATAAACTCCCACCCGGCGCTCGACTACCCCAGACTACTGCCGCCTTCATTCATCAACGTTGGAGGCCTGCAGGTCCAGCCACCCCAGCCTCTGCCACAGGTAGGCGGTCGTAGGTCCTTCTGCTCTAAGTTATAATAATAATTATAATAATAATTATATTGTACGTTGATGTATTTGCTAACACTATAGTGACCATAGGGCTCAGCATCAGGAACTATTTTCTCACTCTTGTTTGCAGGCTAAGAGTTCTCCCTAGGCCTATCATGGGTTTGACAGTTATGATTATACCAATGTTTAACATCATTATTTCAGTCATTCTCATTAACATAATTAATGTGCACTTGGTTCCCCCAGAGTCTGGAGAGGTGGGTGGAGGGCTCCGGGTCGGCCGGCACCATACTCTTCACTATGGGCTTCATCTTTAATTCTCGCGTCGTCCCCGCCCGTGTCATCAATAACCTCATGAGCGCCTTTGCCAGACTCCCACACCGGGTGAGGGAAAACCCAGTCTCTGTACTCACCTAGTTGAGCTCTGGCTCTTTGGTCCCGCCTCTCAACTGTCAATCAACAGGTGTACAGATTCCTGAGCCTATTGGGCTCTATCATATCTACACTTGAAACTGTGTATGGAGTCAGCCTCCACCACATCTGTATACTCGTATACACCCTGCTGTAGTTCTCACTTGAGTGAGAAGTTCTCACACAAGTGAGAAAGTAGTGGAGACCAAAACTGCCAATAGTTTTATAGTTATGTGAGAGAGTGCTGGGAAGATAGGACACCACGAGCGTAGCTCTTATTCTGTAACTACACTTGGGTAATTACACTGCACTTGTTTAAACGCGCAGGCTAGCTATTTCACGTTAAAGTAAGTTTATCGAGATAAAATAAACCCCAAAAGGATAAGTAGCTCAGGCTTTCTATCCTCACTGGCTAGCTATTTGGGTTCTCCCAGACATAAACATCCATCACTCTTCCCTTTATATACAGTACATGTATATACATGAGCTACACTAGGCATAGGCATATTTGTTTGGTTTTAAGTATATTTTTCCGGGACACTATAAAATTAATAGTACAAATAGTGGTTTACTGGCGGTCCGTTACTACTTGCTGGTACTTTAAACCAAATAGGTACTGTAAGTTCTTAATCATTTCAGGAGTATGTGTTGATCTCCAAGACGACCACAACGCGCCTCACGTAGCTCTTAAGTCGTGGTTGTACGACTTTATCTAAAAATGTGTAGGAACAATAATCATTTTTTTTAATTGATCTATTATAGCGCAAATGTAAGAATTCTTTTATTTCCTCGTTCCCTCGTGCGAGTAGAAATATATAGACATTTAGTTTGCAGGTGTCGACCGAGGTTACCTTCCATCGGGTGTCGACGGGGGTTGTCTGTTCCATCGGGTGTTAACAAGTTATCCTCCTGCAGGTGTTGATGAAGCTGGAAGGGGAGCACCCCACGATGCCCCCCAATGTTAAAGTGGTCTCCTGGCTTCCTCAGCAAGATGTTCTAGGTATGTTACCCCTCTTTCTTTCGTTCTCTTTCCATGTTTTATTAATCATTAGAACAGCTACCCAGACGGCAAAAGTAGTGTTGGTTAGTTAGCAAAATTAAAGATATGATTATACGAATGAGGCTGCTGTGATTATTATTATAGTTTACACTAAACTCGATTCACGGCTTCAAATGTAGGTATTACATAAACCCTAATTTGAACATTCTGCGGACGTCAAACGGTTAAGTGCCCGGTAGCCAAGGCTACCTTCAAATCAAATAAGCTGTTAGTGTAAAGATAATCAAATCAAGTGTAATGTGTAACCATTTTAAACCAGACTGCAGCTTTATAATGTTGTTCAGGACACAACAAGACTGTGTTGTTCTTCACCCACTGTGGGATGCACGGAGTGCTGGAGGCCCTGCACCACGGAGTGCCCATGGTGGGCATGCCAGTCTTCGCTGACCAGCAGGACGTTCTCGTCAGGCTCGAGGAACGGGGCGTTGCCAAAGGCGTCCACAAGGAGGCCTCAGAGGAGCAGATCTACCAAGCCATTATCCACGTCCTCAATGACACCAGGTCAGAGCCTTTCATAATTTTACGGATTATCTTATTAGCAACCTTTCACTGTTAGTTTAATTCTAGTAAACAGTATTTTGATTTAAAATAGAAGTGTCTTAGAAGAGAAATATGTATTGCAACACAAAATTGCCCAAACTTTGACAACGTAGATTTAAAACGCATGTAGGAGTGTAATACTTCAAACTGGACTACACTTTCTTTTGGTTATAGTACTGGCAAAAAAATCCATAAGGGAGTGATTGTTAGCTATATAGTATCTTTTTACTTAATGAGTTTTTTTCATCACTAAAAAAATCTAGTAATTAGATTCAATTACGTGAATTGTTTATGAAGCATTTATCATGCTCTGTTTCTGCCAGCATACTTACAAGGTTTTGATTTGGGCGAGATAACATGTTAAGTACTATTAGGTGTCCCTAGTGTTGCTCAGAGCAGTCCCAAGAGCCTGAATTTATTCATAGAATCCCCCGAAGCAGAACTCTCCAGGCTCGTCCCTAGTACTCTTGAAGGGCTTGCTTGTGTTAATTTCTTAACCATCACACCACACAGTTTTGACTTGGATAATATTCATTACAGACTTAGGTTGAACCTACATTTTGGTTTACTTCAGAAATGTAGATACCCACATTTGTTGGTGACTTTGTTACTTGTAATGTAAAATGGTAACGCACTGACCGTTCAGTCTACAGGAAACCAATCTGTGTAAGATACTAAACTTTTTATTTACCATGAAAATGGCTGAAACGAGAAGGTGATTGTATTCTTGCTGAGAGCTTTTATGATATGTATTCAGCAGTTCCATGAAAACTAGTCCCAGTACACGAGATCTTGCTCAACATCCTTTATTAGGGAATGTAGAAAGTAACAACTTCGTCTGCATAAATCAGGTTAAATATACAGTACTTTTCTCTAGTAATTCATATTACAAATCACTATTACAGTATTATTTCATCTTTAATCAGGCATACACAAGAGTAGGTTGTAATTATGTATAGATAGCAAGTTGATATGAGAGATTTCAGTCCTATTTATTTGGTTTTACTATTGACAAAAACCCTATCACAGGTTAATATAGTGTGGTGGTAGTTTAATACAGTAAACTTCCCACTATTATGTGCTCAAGAGATGCTGTGCAAAACTGCAACATAATATAGCAAGCCCTGCAAGCAAGGGGAATCACACCCCGGCCCCAAGGGAATTTACTCCCGAATTTACATTTTAGGGGATATGAGGATCCCCCCCCCCCCACACTGGGTAGTAAATAACAGGTGTATACTTACTACTTAATTCTCACATTACTGTTTTCATGACAAAATCCCCCTAGCAATGCCTATTGACATTTACATTAATGCTCAGTACCCCCTGGGACAGAAATACCAGCTAAGGCAGGGCCAAAACTTCTGATGGCAGTAGATCTTAACATGTTTCTCACACCTACAATACATCGAAGATCCTTTCCAAGCTTAGTCCCACCAGGGACTAAGTTTAGTCCCTAGTGGGTCTGGTATGGGAGTAAGCGAAATGGGATTAACGCTTAGGGACTAAGCTTAGTACGCTTAGTCCCTAAGCATACTCCACAATCACTGTGGAGTATGCTTAGAGTTGCAGTTATTGCACTTCATAAATTATTTTCTATCATGATTAAGTTATCATTTGTTCTAGTGTATATAAATAACTATAGTTTAAGTGCTGATAAACAGGGTGTGCCATTACTAAGGGATGATAAGTTAGTTTGATTTACATTGTTGTTTTATTCTTGTGTGACTAGGTACCGCGAGAACGCTCGCCAGCTGTCGAAGATAGTCAGAGACCAGCCGCAGGAGCCACTGGACCACGCCCTCTGGCTGGTGGAACACGTGGCCAGCACCCACGGGGCGCCCCACCTAAAGTTCTCCGCCAGGCACCTCAACTTCTGCCAGTTCTTTGGCCTCGACGTCCTGGCGTTCGTACTAATGACTTCACTATGCTCCTTCTATTGCCTACCGCGGTTACTAAAGTATCTGGTGAATAGCTTCATATCTTTGGGAAATTATAAAAGCAAATTAAAAGTAGCTTGAATGCAGTTTCTTTAAATAATTTTGTTAGTATACCTTTGCACTGGACTGGTCTGGAAGAAAGCATTTTGCACAACCATCTTAAAAAGTAAAACTTGTAAATTGAAAATTCATTAATATACACAATTGAGGAAGTGTAGCGAGTGCAAAACATTTAGTGTGATATAATTTGGGAGGTGTCTGTGCATCGGTAAGTTCACTTCCTGCAACACGCCTATGCTTCCTTCCCTTCACAAGGCATTCTACTTAATTCATTCCCTTAATTCATAGCATGTAATTGGCACACCAGTTACAGATCACCGTGGGAAATGCTACTGTAATCCTGCTGTATGTTGAAGTAACGAAGGGAAAATTTCATAGTGATGCTTAATGACCGGCAGCTGTCCCGATGCACTCAGTCAAATAAATTGTTTTAACAAATAAAAAAAACTGCTTTCTTGTAACACAATGCAAATGCTTTTCTGTAGCAGGTATTAAGATAACTTTTCTTGCTCCACATAACAGTACAGTAAATTTGTTACAAATGGTTACCATGGAGTAATTAATCTAAACGGGTATCTTTATTAAAAGCAAACAAGTTGAGAGATGCATACTAATAATTTGTATTTATCATTCCTAGTTTCTGTAAGCTAAGCCCTGTTACGATGGTTATTTTTTTAAATAAACAAACAAATATAACCGGTTATTTAGTATCCTTAAACGTTTATGGGGTAAATCAAATGGGCCAAGGTTGAGTGATTTAAGAAGTTCATGGAAAAAGTTTCTACTTAAGGACATAGGTACTACAACAGTTTATAAAATGCTGGGCAAGTTAATGTAATAGAGAACATTAAACGTTATAATGACAAGAAAATGCCATATAATTATCACTCGATTCTGCTAAAATATTTTGATTACATGCACATTAATGAGACCTCTTCACTATATATGTCAGAATACAATAGTCGCGTACCACTTATATTGTAACAATATAATACTGGCCGCTCTTCTTCAGTTGAGTAGCATTGATACAATACTCATATTCAAGCCAACATAACACTCGCAGCCAACTATATAGCCAAGTTATAATTATGGAGAAAATTGTGCTGAACATGATCGAGCTACTAATCGGTTGTTACCCTAAGGAATGTTGTTTGTTGCACCATCATCTCTAGTACAGATCCAGCTCATCACTATTGCCACAGGTTTCGTTATTGGTGTGTAAGAGCAGGCTTGAGCAGGACAAGTTTTGATATTTGACTTCTGGAGCCTTGAGCTGCACCAGCATAAACAAGTAAGTCACCATCGCGCCCATCAGCTCCATCCATGTCCCACTTCCGAGCCTGTAACACCGTCGAGGTTAAGGTTTCTGCTGTATACGCTTGCTTGGTCACTTCCCCCCTCTCACACCTCTCATACACTTTCTTACCCTCCCACTTTCTATATATTAGGATTTGCCTCACGCTATTAAAATTAACTAAATTTTATATTATTATTGTGCTAAAAGTCTTTATATATTTAATTTAAAACTTGTTAAGGCAATAAACGCAAATTAATTAACACATTGACTTGACTTACACTCTATCTTACCTCTCCATGCCCCAAACAGCAACGTTAATAGGTCTGGCTTCTAGGCGCGATATTAGGTCGTTCATTGCCTGGCCACGATCCTCGTGACCACGTTCGTCCTCATGACCACGTTCGTCCTCGTGACCACGCTCGTCCTCGTGACCACGTTCGTCCTCGTGACCACGCTTGTTCTCTCGGTCACACTCGTCCTCTTGGCCACAATGGTCAGATAACAGTGAGGCAGAGCTCGCTATGGCCTCCCGAAGACTGTTCTCCACACGCTTGTGCTGGTGGGAGGGGAAGAAGCGCGTGACAATAAAATACAGTACTCATTAAAAGATATTGTAGACATTGCAGTAAATGCGTAAAACGAGTGTTGGCATCGTCTCTGGCCTCGACGAGAGCAGACGAGTCGCAGCGGTTGTCAGCTGCCATGGCAGCCTCAGAAATCGATAATACCCGGAGGGTTTGTGGCTGTACGGTCAATATTTTATGTATATATTGTAAATCTTCAAGTTAACTTGGCTACATCATATGTTAGTAGCTTATATATCCTGTATTGTATGGTATTAAGTGACTTTAAAAATATCACTCGTATATTTTCCTGCAACATAGGCAAGAAACTGGCATTTTACATCTTGCACAAAACACTGTTAAACCGACGATGTCCAGCTTCCGGATACGTTTCCAAGTTCCTAAATCACAAATAAAATAACGTCCTTTATGCAAATTAACTAACTGATGTAAGTTTGTTCACTTACATGTAGCAATGAGTGTTTTTAATTGCATCCTTTCCCCTTACCGTTGAATAATCCCTCCCTTGTATACTCCTCAATCTCAACCCGTCTCTTCGCATGGTCTTCGCATTCCATTTCTCCCTACCATCCCCATTACATCCCTTCCCCTCTCACTTTCCTAACCCCATCTTACCTGCTCCTTCATAGTTAAATAACACCTCAATAATAATAACATTCATTTGGACATATTTTGAAGACTACCTGCACACGTCAAAAACTTCTCAGGGACGTTTGTTCTACACGTTAATGCCAGACGAAATTCTACAAGTCTATTGAAAGGTGTATCAAAACTACAGGGTGACAACTTTGTCTATATTGAACCATTCTGCGACGTGAGGATGTTTGATTAGCCTAGCTAGCTCTAGCTCTTTGCCTAAATTCTATAATCTTCCTCGTATAAATTAGGGTAGCAAAACAGTGTTATAATTAGTTATCAGCCAGTACGACTGTAGCATTTGGAAGGGATATCCAGATAAGGATTTTAGGTTAGGACGGAGGAAAAGAATGGTGCCCAACCACCTGGACGGTTGGGAATTGAACGCCGACCTGCAAAAAGCAAGACCATCCCTCAATCGTTCAGTCAAGCGGTTGGGTACACACTGCTGTGTACCTAAGTTTAATAGAGGAACAAAAAAGTTGGACGTTTGCGTAGCGTTGGATTATAGTTTAGCTCCACCCTTAAATTGTTTTACAAGCATCTAGAAATTAAAATTGTACCTCTTATTTACGTTTCAGCCACTAGGACCAGGAGGCAGGGCGAGGACTAGATGACGTTATGGTCAACATCATTTTGCATCTTTCCTCGCTTTGCATTAAAGGCTGGTCTCTGTTGCGTGCTTTTACACAGTAACAAAGTTTATAACTCTGGAAATATTTCGAGGAAAGGGTAATTAAGGGAATGGAACCTCACCCTTCATACGGCCTTGCATACAGATAAAATTTAATCAAACATTACTTAGAATGAACTTACCGCTGAGCACAGCTTATCTCCGACGAAACTGACGATCAAGGATTTGAGGAGGGCTTCCACCAGTGGGAGAGAGAGGGACAACAAGATCCACAGGCAGCAGGTGTCGTGCAGCTGTATCAGTAAGTACAGCAAGACCATTATCTGACACGTGAACTGCGTCATCCGCATGTAGTTAACTTGTGAAAACACCTGCAGGTACACAACGAGAGAAGGCCACACTCAGATTTGCAATGTGTGTGCTCGCTACATATTGTTCATGGTCTTATATTCATAATACAAATTTTAGAATATATATATTACATTCCTCAAATTAAGAGTAAATACCATGTCCGTCACAACCTATGGGAGTTATGACGGACATGTTATCAGTGACCTAGCTATGAAATGAACATATTTGGTGCTGCCTTCATTACTAAAGGTCGAAGACTGGAGCCACAAGCCTGACCTGGTTATGTTTACCGACGAGGCGACTGATGGTGAGCCAGGTTGCGGCCACCGCCTCCACGTCCCCCAGCTTCCAGGGGCCGACCTCCCGCACGTAGCTATCCAGCTTCTCCAAGGCCTCGTATAGAGTAACTACGAAGCTACACATATACTTATCTACCAGACTAGGTACAAGGCAGTTAAGGATAAGAGGAGCTGCAAGGAAAGGGATGTAGTTTGTCGGGAAGGGAAGCAGAAAGAAGTTGATGAAGGCGGTAAGGAGTGTATACAGCAGGACGACGATGATGTAGTAGCAAGCCCTGGTGTCGGGCTTCACTGTCAGCCCTGCCTCCTTGATGTCTTCCATATATTCCATCATTGCACACGAGTTTGATAGCACTATTCCCCAAATACGTATCGTGTAAAGAGAAACAAAAATGTTTGACGCTACGATGACTATTAATCCGTAAGTAACCAAATTATTGACATAAATATAAACTATGGTAAACAGAGCCAGAGAGTAGGACACTATGTACAGAACACCTGCTGGTACAATCCTAAGTTTACAAACTATATATGTTCCATCATCCAGTTGGCGTGTGAGGTGTAGACCCACAAAGCTGGCACAGAGGAAAGTTAACCAGTAGGATACTTCGATTGGTGCGGTCACAATGTTATTTTTCTGTGCAGAGCGATCATGGTCATTGCTCAACTTTATAACCTCTCTAGCTAGGCCTCGAACCTTAACAAAACACGCTTCTTTTGGAGTATTTTTATCTTTTTTGTTTCTTTTACTTATTTTCTGTCCAATATCATATATCTTCCTTTTTATTTTGTCAACTTTCAGTTTTATTTCGTGAAATACCTGTTTATCCTTGCAAATATTGCTCTCCAGCATGTTAGATACTGTCGTGATCTTTGTGGCTAACTTTTCTCCTACACGAAACATCTCACTGACTGGAGCTTGAGTTGAATGAAGTACCACCCGAGTTAAAGACGCCGGTGCACGAAATAACAGTCGGCACTACACTGTGCCACAGGTAATGGGGATCTTCATACCCTCATGTACAATTTTAAGGAAGGTAAACACATTAGCAGTTGATTCGGGTCTGCAGGTGTAGGTGGACAGCCGATAAGATAGCGCGGCTAGGAAACTCGTTTATAATATTTATAAACACTAGAGGGACTGATTACAATGTTTACATAGTAAGGAAATTATAATTTTTTAGTCCACTAATCGCTCACCTTGCTTCAGAGGCTATATGTCTCAGTGCCGTTGCTGAGGGAACTATCCTCCCAGGCCAACTGGGAGCCACGGGCTTCATGCATCCTTCACGAAGGCTTCCATTTATGTCTTTACGTTAGTTTTGGATTAGTTATTTTAGTTAAAGATCAACTTTATATGCTAAATATGTCCAGTGCATTACTTCTAGTTCAAAACAATACACAGCACATAAGATGTAATACCAAAACCATGTTTATACAACATACTAGTTGTACCACTAATACTGTTCGCCTAGCATACTGAAAGAAGTTATGTTACATATTGCTTCTTAAAGTTGCTACAGTACTTCCTTTCACTGCCGCCTTGAACTCACAACATTGAAAACTGAAACAAGTTTATTGATATATAAATACAAAGGGATGAGGTAGCTCAAGCACTTCTCATCTCGTTCACATACATTCACACACATCATAAATAATCGACATATTACTGAACATTATGGGCGTAGTACTCACAACAGGACAGTGGTAGTGATGGAACAACAGTCCTAGGCAACGCTAGAATTGAAATACTGTATCAAATTGTGAGAAGCCTATTGGTTGACAATCTCCAGCACTCCGAAGAGCTTGTGCAAACACTATGGAGCTGGTGTAACATCTGTCACACTGACAAAAACAAATTTCAGAATTCTGATTTTTAATATATTGAACGGCTT